GGGGCTGACGGCCGGGGACATTCAATTCCTTAGCGTTCGAAGACGGATTATCTTAGGTACGAGCTCCGCGCCGGCGCGCATTCTCCTCGGCAACTCCGAGTCCATCATCGTCATCTCCTCCCCCTCGGACTCCCCAAACTCTATGAAGGAGCCGTCGCCGTTTACGTCAGTGAATGTGGCGGGGTTGGTGTAAACGGAGGCGGGATCCGCGTCCACCACCTTGGATAAAGCCAAAGTGGATAGGAAGAGAAAGAGGATAGCGAGATGGGCGTGCTTGATTGCCATCCTGTTATTTCTAGGATTAAGGGTGCACGAAACCCAGAAATAATGGATATGGATTTCTATGCTTCCCCTTCCTAGTCAAAGCACAGGACGCCAAACATATTACCCTACGGAGCACCCAAATACAAGAGAGAGCTCGAAGGTTGTCTCTTATAGTTGTTTGGTTCATTGGTTGTATGACTCTGCGTAATTTACGTACAAAATGCTAAGTTAGTTTAGAACCATTTAATTTGTTGGCCCTCCTTTTTCCATGCCTCTAAACTCTAAAATATATTCTATTTCAGCATCAAGAAAATATTTACAAAGAAAAAGAAAAAAACAAATTAAAGAGATAAAGGAACAGTTAGGAAACAGCAAAAACAATGACAATTGAATGAAACATACAGTAAATTAAAGTGAAATAATTGTGCTCAGTTTGAGAAGTATGGTCTACTAATGTTAAAAAGCTTAGGAGATAAAATAAAACGTTTTTTCTTTTAATTGAAAAAAAAAATGATTCTCTAAAAATTATTTCTTGAAAGTCTTTGTCATCTCAGATTATGACATACATAGCATGAGCACATCACATTTAATTTAGATGGCATCCTTTGATCCTTATCGTGTTAGTAATAATTAAGTTCAATCATTTTATCACTAATTATATTCCATATATAATAAAAAACAAATACTATATATTTTTATGTATTGTTTTACTTGTCATGATTTATATTAGTCAAATTAGATCTATCTTATTCATTTTTAATTAATATTTTATTATAACTTTTAAATTCAATTTTTAATGTTTAATAATACATTTAATATAATTTTTAAATATATAAATTGTACGAAACAAAGAGAATAATAAAATGTTAATACTATATTATATCTACCATTTTTTTGGTTCCATCTAATTAATATAAATGATTTGATTGAAGTATATGCAAATTAAGTAATTAGTACTCACCAAAAAAAAAATTAAGTAATTAGTATTTTCTTAATTAAGAAGTAAATTACTCCGTATAATGCAATTGCCGACACCAAGGAGTAAGGTTGACTAGCGGTCTGGCGTTACGTAGCGTCTTTGTCTATTCTTAAAGCTACGTGGAAATACGGGTATGAACTCAGAACAATCAATCTGATTTTTCAAAAAAAAAAAAAACAATCAATCTGATTTTTCGAGTGTTATGACACGTTTGCCGTCAATACTGCGACACTTGGCTATTCAGATAATGTTTTAAAAAAATAAAAAATTCTTCTCATTGATTTTGACAATTTTTCTTTAATTTTAAGTTCGTCCATATAAAATTATAAATACCCTTTATTTCCACGTATATTCTCTCTTTGATTTTTTTTCTTTACTTTCCCAATCAATTATTATTTAATTTCTTGTCATTTTGTGTGATTTTAATATTATATTAAAGTTAAATATTAAGAGATTTTTTAATTTCACATTTCTAGAAATCCTACCTTATTTTTGTGTACTATAATGCGAGGTTGCCACCAAACTTGGTACTTTTTTTGGTAGATTGGAAGCAGACGTTGTTAGCAGCATTAAAGTTGGTAGTAGTATAAACTGAACTGTGAACAGAAATCAATCTAAAAAGATGATATAGATAGACTTTTAGAAGAAAGGTGTGACACTCCATCCGTGATAGATCTCCTCCTTGTAATTTATGGCCCAACTAATGCACCACTTTAATTTTTTTGACAAGAACAACAACAGGCCATTTATTTGTCCATTTAATTATTTTTTTAATCAATACCCGAATATATATTGTTCCCAAAAAAGATTGAATCTCTAACCCAAGGGTCCAGCACGCCCCGACACGACAGAACATATATGTTAGACATTTACTTACCGCCAACAAAATATCTGCGAAGATGTAAATTATGGTAACTCATTGCTTACTGCGCACAAGGGCTATTGCTTACTGCGCACAAGGAGCCCCCCACCTTCACTTTGAGAGGTTGCTAACACGCTAGTGAGACTCGATCACTTGTCATTGTTCTCAAACTTCACCCATGTGACAAACTGAGCTATTTATCCATGCAGGATATATATATATATATATATATATATATATATATATATATATATATATATATATATATATATATATTACGGATCATACGCGAATGAAGGCTTTTGGTTTAAAAAAAAGGGTTAAATCTCAACCATATATCGATCTAGTCCAAATCAACAGTCCAAAATGAAGAGGAATTACAACAAAAAATAAAATCAAAATAATCTATTTAAGAGGAAAAAAAATATGCTAACAGCATACGAATATATATCTACACGGTGGCATTGTTGTAAAGTTTATACTAACAACATACGAATATATTTAAGAGGAAAAAAAAATATAATACAGGGTAAAGTAAAAGTATTAAAAAAATAAAATCAAAATAATCTTGAATTATTCATTTCATCAAAGTCTTACTTTATTAGCTCTTATTAGTTAGTATAGTAGATAGATGTTAAGGAAAGAAATCACAGAAATCACATGTTAAGGAAAAAAATCACAAGTGTTGAATATTAGGAAAGTTGTCTTACTTTTCTATTCTTATTAGTAGTTTCCTAGACTAATTTAGTATCTAGTTTAGTATATATAGAGGTCCATAGAAGTATAGAATATATATTAAGAGAGACAATCTATTGTACTCTTTCAATATAATATATTCTCTTGTTCTTTGGTTCTCACATATCTTGCTTCCGCCTAACTGGCGGGTGGTGGATATTCTCCACCCGCCAGGTCTCTCAAATGTTGTCTTACTTTTCTATTCTAATTAGTAGTTTCCTAGATTAATTTAGTATCTAGTTTAGTATATATAGAGGTTCATAGAAGTCAGTTGTTGGTTCGAGATGCTAACTGTGTTGCCACACGCAGGATACGTTAATCCCCCTAGGGGCCTTTGGCCCCATTCTTCTACCAAAAAAAAAAAGAGGTCCATAGAAGTATAGAATATATACATTAAAAGAGACAATCTATTGTACTCTTTCAATATAATATATTCTCTTGTTCTTTGGTTCTCACATATCTTGCTTCCGCCTAACTGGCGGGTGCCGCCAGGTCTCTCAAATTCTGAATCTTAACAGATCATTAATTTGATGCCCGAGAAGAGATAGATTAGTGAGTGAAGTATAACTCTCCGTTCCTCAACCTACTGAAAAATAAAGAATCAAATGCCCCACACTGGAGTTTGCACCTAAAACATCTCATTTAAGGGATCACAGCTATGCCGCTCGACCATAAGAACTATGATAATTTGAATCAATCTTCTTTGTATTAAAATCAATTTTGTCGTTCTAAAAAAAAAATCAATTTTGTATTGAGAAATTGAATGAATTATTTGGACACGGACCTTTCCTTAATTATTGAGTCAGGGAGCGTGTATTCGATCTCTAGAGTTTGAATGACTTTTTTTTTTTTTTTTTTTTTTTTTTTTTGAAATGACTTATTAATATGCCGACACCACACGATGACACAATAATACACTTTTTTTAAATAAATAATATTATTAATAATACACTTTTTAATATTATTATATTTTAAAAAGAATTGTATTCAAATTTATATTACAAATTAAAGTATTTGTCCAATAAAATAATTATGTTAGTGAACTGATTGTTGATTTGATTATAAATAATTAAATAAATACTATGCTGTAATAGTTAAAATGGCATACTTATTTTCAGGTACCTAAATTTATATATGTATTAATATATTATTATGATCTATAAATATAATAACTAAAGATTATATAACTTTTTGGACGAAAAGATTATGTAACTTTAGATAGTTAAACAAATTATTGAGGTTTTATATAGCTAAAATGAGTATTGAATTATGCACCGCGCCATATGACTTTGAGACTTAATATTGTATATATTCAAATATAATTAATTGTAAATATACAATTTTCATATCATATGTGTGTACATACAAATTTTATGGTTAAAAACACTTCTAAGTCCATTGTAATTAACTTGCTTGAATCAACGAGGTATAAATCTTTGAATATGTCCCATGATTAATTGATTATTCACTTGAATTTAAACTTGATATTTTATAGTGGATATTTAAACTCCATGAGGAATGACGGAAGATGCATATATGTTTCGTCACAAATTAAAATTTAGGTGGTGTTTGGTAAATAGTTATTAGCTAATTGTGTTAGTGAGTTTGACTAGTTGATAGCATTAAGTGATTCTAGAAATATGTTTGGTAAATTAACTGTTAATTGATAATTGATTACATATCTCAAAAAGATGCTTTAAGCAGTTTTTTGAATTTTAGCGTTTTGAAACAATAAGTTTTAGTTACAAAAAGTTCATTAATCAAACACTTATATTGACTATTTATAAAAGTTAAACACCTAACAGTGGTCAAATAAACTAAAATTAAGATAAGCTAATTATGTTACCAAACATGACCTTAGTCAAATTTTATGAATAAATATTGAGTTTAAATTTTATGTTTTACCAAGACTAAGTGGTTTAATGATATCCAGGTTGGATTTTCATTTGGAAGGTTGTAAGTTCGAGTGGAGGCATTATTAGCTTTTTGTGTTTCAGATTGAGAAAGTATATGAACAGACGTTACAGTAGGATACAGACGTTACAGTAGGTTGAGAAAGTATAAGAACAGATACTACAATGTAATAGAGCTAGTAGCATTCAAAAAAAAATCTATCTTTGATCTTCAAATTCAATTTGAACTTGAATACCTTAGAATGTATGTTATCTTAAACAAAATTATTAGTATCAAAAAATGATTTCTCTAAAAAACATAATGTACTATAAAAAACGATATCATCTGTCTAATTCTTTACGAATAAATATAATGAATTTATTTATTACTAGAAAAAAAAAAAAGCATAAATTATTATTCCGTATATATACACGAAACCAAATTCTTAGAAAGCAACAGCTATGATAAATGTGAGAGTTGACGCTATGACCATTGACGGAGTAAATGCCTTCACAGCTGCTGAGTTTGGCGGTGAACCACCAGGAGCCTGGATATCAGCCGGAGTGTTGCCGGAGCTCGGACTGCCTGTTGAAGGAGATGAAGCACTAGAAGGAGGCCCCGTTGAAGGAGCTGTGGATGTCTTTGCCGGTGCTGGAGATGCCAACGGAGCCTGGCTTGCCGGTCCATTTGCCCCAGGAATTGCGGCTGGTCCGGGAGATGATGCCGGAGTGATGGCAATAGCCGCCGGGGAAGGTGAAATGGAACTTTTGGGTGGAGCAGCTCCCGGTGAGTAGCTCGCCGGCGATCCTACTGGGGTAGAAGCTCCTGGAGCATTGCTGGACGGTGAGGTAGCCGGCGATCCTTTTGCAGGAGAAGCTCCCGGAGCATTGCCGTACGGTGAAGTTGTCGGCGATCCTTTAGGTGCTAAAGCTCCTGGAGCATAGCCAGACGGTGAGGTTGCCGGCGATCCTTTAGGTGCTAAAGCTCCTGGAGCATAGCCAGACGGTGAGGTTGCCGGCGATCCTTTCGCAGGAGAAGTTCCCGGAGCATTGCCGTACGGTGAAGTTGTCGGCGATCCTTTAGGTGCTAAAGCTCCTGGAGCATAGCCGGACGGTGAGGTTGCCGGCGATCCTTTCCCAGGAGAAGCTCCCGGAGCATTGCCGTACGGTGAAGTTGTCGGCGATCCTTTAGGCGCTAAAGCTCCTGGAGCATAGCCAGACGGTGAGGTTGCCGGCGATCCTTTCCCAGGTGAAACTCCCGGCGCATTGCCGTACGATGGAGTGGAGGGAGATCCTTTAGGCGAAGAAGCTCCAGGAGCATAACCAGACGGCGAAGTTGCTGGCGATCCTTTGAAAGGAGAAGCTCCGGGCGCGCTGCCTGACGGTGAAACGGCCGGCGATCCTTTAGGCACAGAAGCTCCAGGAGCATAGGCGGAAGGTGATGCTGCCGGCGATCCTTTTATAGGAGAACCTCCCGGCGCGTACGCTGACGGTGAAATGACCGGCAATCCTTTTCTTGGAGAAGTCCCCGGAGCATTACCGTACGGTGAAGCGGCAGGCGACCCTTTAGACGGAGAACTTCCCGAAGCATGCCCCGACGGTGAAGCAGCCGGCGATCCTTTAGGCGGATTCACTCCCGGAGCGTGGCCTGAGGGTGAGATGGGTGATGAGGGAGTGAATCCTTTAGGCGGAGCAGGGATAGGAGCCGGAGACCGTGGCGGAAGCGCACGAGGCGGCGCCGGCGGATACCGGTTCCTCACAGCAAGAACAACAACGATCAACTTCTGTCCCTTTTCACAATTCTCTTGATTCCCAGCGATAAAATAAAACGGACCAGATCTTCCAAACTGGAAAACAGAGTTTCCATCATCCATTTTCTTGATGGGATTTTGCGTATTACACTTGTCATAATCATCTTTGCTCACCACCAACACCGATTCCGATCCTTTCTCATACTTAAACACTGCAATATACATACATAATTATGTTCCAGAAACAACAAAAAATTATAAACATATACTACTCAATAGTCAATAGTACAGTGATCAGAAAATAAGAACTTACAGAGGGTGTCATTGACTTGGAATCTCATACGTCCAGCCCAGTGATTATAGTCTTCTGAAGGGTTTAAGACCCAACCAGTCTTGCCGCCAACGTTGAACTGGTAAGCATGCAAGGATGAGCAAACCAAGGATACTAACACAACAACAATCCGTAGATGTTTCTGAAGATCCATCATAATATTTGCCTATGTATATATATAGATCGAATGAAGTTCGAGATTAGAAGAAAAAAAAAATGAAATGAAAATGATAGATAGGAGGGGATTTGTAGGAGTGAATTAGGGAGATGGGAGGGAGAAAGTAGAATGGAAACTTATGGGATGAAGCAGAGGATGGGTTGGAGAAGGTATATATAGGGCTGGCAGATGAAGAAGGGAAAGCTACTTGCATAGGTTACCGTTGCAATAGTATTTTCTTCGTGTTAGCCTAAATTAAACCAACTTTTTATAACTCCGCCTGAGCGGTATATTAATCTTTTTCATTTAATCTGAATAATCTAAACTGATTTATCTTCAGGTGGTGCTGTATTGATTAGGGTCATCACACAAGATTTAACCGTCCACATTTTCACAAAAATGTGCCTTGTCAGTCACAAACCACAATAACTTTATTTTTCTTAGCCGCATGGACAGCTCAACTGGTCATAGGGGTGAAGTTTAGGAATAATGACTAAGGGTCTAATCTTTATGGTTCAATTGAGTTACCATGATTTACCTCCTCTCAAATGTTTTGTCGAACGGGGGTGTGGGGATCCCTTGGAGTTAGGATTCAACATTTTGAGAACTAACTTTATTTTTCATACTTCATAAAAGGATGCTCATTTAGTAGATATTAAGGGCTGATTAGCTAATTAATTAAACGCACTATTATAAGTAGTTCTGTTTGCATGAAAGTTAGGACTTAACGGTAAAGTATGTTAGTGTGCATTTAATTCCAAAGACGAATAGTGCAAATCTGCAAATGCAAATTAAGATGTGGGACTGCTGTCGTTGACTATTGTCCACGTTCACGGAAGCCCGTTGGTCGTAATTGGGCTTTTATTACTTGCCCATATTATCAAATCACCTGTCAGTCCACTCGTACTATAGGTGAATTTTTTAATTATGATGAAAATTTTAGTCAAAAAAGTAATGGATGATTTTTTTTTTAAATGGAAAAACAACGGAGTAATTTTTTTTTTCCAGCTTACATAGAAGAAAGGTATGTGCATTTTAATTCATCAAGTTTGTTGCATATTGATGAAGGTTGAAGTTTGGGTTCAACTAACACGAGCCAAGAGGGCATAAAAGGAATTAAGGAGAAGAGATACAAATTGAGCTTAAAAAGTTAGATAGGGGTATAAATTGAAAGAGTTCTTCATGTGGATTCCTTTGTCTACATCAATATTTTAAGTGTGGGAGTAAATAATGAGAGTACATGTAGTATTTTTCAAATTGAAATAAAGGGCAAAGTCCAAGAGTTAAGGTGCAAAGTTTGAGGAGCTAAAATGCAAAGAGCTAAAATGCAAAGATAAGAGCCTTGTTTGATAAATGACGGATCTATAAAAAAAAAAAAAAAAAAATTAACAAATTTGTCATTTCAGTGTTTTGACCATGTCAAAATGCTTAAAAAAGCCGTTTGGTAATCAAACAGCGGTTTAGAGCAAATGATTTGCTTAGGAACTTAAAAAGGACACATGTCAACTCAAGAAGTAATAACCTGCTAAACAAGTCATTTAGGACTAATTGAACCAAAAATAAACATTGACCACACCATGAACATTGACTAAAAGTTAGGGAGTAAATATTAAGTGTTCATGTAGCACAACTTCAACTTTTTAGTCTTTCCACAATGATTTTATCCAATTGATGCAGCCGAGAATCCAATGTGTTCCCCTCCTTCCAATCTAATAATCTAATAATAATAACTATTTACATATGCCCTGTCGGGGCCGGGGTGTCGGAAGCACTTGAAGTTAAGAATTCAACCTTTTAGAAAGAATAATACAGAGTAACTATTTACAGAAGTCTTATAAAAAGTCTCTAAAAATCCATAAACACCAATAAATTTTTTAAAATTCTTAAAAGTCTAAATTGATTTTAAAGACTTTCTAAAAATTTGAATCAAATACCCCTTGTAGAGTTTATAAAAGTATTTACAAGTCTACATCAAATTCCAAGGGCATGAATGATTTATTTTTTGCCACACTTTCTGCAAATTTCATTCTAGCTCCACAAATTCTTTATTTCTAAGCCAGGATGCGAAATTGAACATTTGAAGCAAATGCACCCCAAGAGTTCAAAGTCGTGATGAAGGGTTTGTGCTACCGGTTGCATTCCGGTAATCATACACACCAATGCCACGTTTTCTGCCAAGTCTGCCTGCATCAACATACTGCACAAGGAGAGGGCATGGAGCATATTTAGTGTCCCCCAGGCCGCCATGGAGGACTTTCAAAATTGCCAAGCAAACATCCAACCCGATAAAATCTGCGAGTTCCAGAGGACCCATTGGATGGTTCGTTCCAAATTTCATTCCTGCATCAATGTCTTCCTTAGCCGCGACTCCATTGTAGAGTGTATAAAATGCTTCGTTTATCATTGGCATCAAGATTCGATTCACAATAAAGCCAGCGTAATCCTGAGAGCAAACAACTGCCTTGCCAAACCTGCAAAAGCTGTTCTTTACAATCTGGTTTTGATATGAAGCACGCACAATTAGGTTCAGGATTTAGTCCTTCAAATCAACCAAACCCTTTCCCTTGTAGAGACAGGGAAGCTAAAGAATAGGCACAGCATCAAACAACATAAAAATTAATGGGAATGGTCATTTATGAGAGTGCAAACTCAAAGAAAAGCTCAGGAAAAGTTAAGAAAGATCCGGCCTAACAGGTTAGAAAAGTGTACTACTTTTCAAGCAATAATAGTCGTATTGTGATTTCCTTAAAACAAAAATGAACTGCATACAAAAGAGATTCTACCCCTATATAGGCAGTCATAATTTGAGTTAAATAAAGAAAAAAGGCAAACCCTTCCTTCAGCCCACCCCAGGGTGAATGTCAAGGTATTGCAGCAAATATTAAATTAAAAGAGTTTTTCCAGTAAGGCACCTTTCTGCCAAGCTCTTTGTTACATTATATGTCTCATCCGATGTATCTGCACCCCTGATAATTTCAACCAGTTTCATAATGGGAGGAGGATTCATAAAATGCATGCCAATCACCTGCACAAAGGAAATGTAATTGCTTAAAATGGCTATGTTTGCCGAACGGGAAAAGAATCAAATCTGAAAGCAATCAAAATTAGATATATAGATGTAACCGTGAACTTGCTACAACCAAAATTCTCCAATCAGTTTCCCTTTTAAAGGTCAAATGTAGAGGAATAATGCCACAAATATATTGAGTACTAAAATACCTGAATAAAACAAGGTTCATGTATCCATGGAAAGAATCAAACGTTTTGACAGACATGAAATATTGATGTATTTACACAGTCTAAAACATAATTGTATGTACAAGAAGAACATGAACTGTGAAGTAAACCTGTGTAGGACGATTAGTTGCAGATGCCAAACGGGTAATGGAGATAGAGCTTGTGTTAGAAGCCAAGATTGCAGAGCTCTTCACAATCTTGTCTAAATCAACAAACAGCTTTTTCTTCACAGATTCAGACTCCACAATAGCCTCAATAACAATATCCACAGACTGGAAATCTTCCAAATTCTGTGAACATTTTAGACGCCTGATTGCATCACCACCTCGTTCCTATTGAGGGAAGGGGCCACCAAAACACAGTTTAAAACCAACGAATTAAGCGATTTTCACTAATATTTTATGAATTAACATTGTACGGAGTATTATTATCAAAGAATTCCAAACCACGGCAGAAATTACTTCTGGGGTGACGACGATTATCCATAATTGCACGAGAAATTAATTAAATTTTATACTTTGTAATTTAGATAAGGTACGAGGAAACAAAAAATAAATAAAAAATTGTTACTCCAATTACTATATAATTGTAGGAGAATTAACTAATAAATGTTTAATTTAGGTTAGGTACGAGGACACGGTAAATCTGTTTGGAGCAGTTTTGCAGCTCTGTTCTTCCACACATATAATTTTGATTTCCCTCTCTGTTTATATACTGTGAATTTGATAAAGAAATCAATTGAGAATACGGAGAAGATCACCTCAGAAAGTAGAGCTTTTGAGACGAGGCGTTGAATGTTACTAGAGATGGATTTTTGGGCTCTGTTAAGAGCTTCCGCTTCGGTATCGTAAAGGCAAACGTCGACACCGTTCACGGCGGCCAGTTGGGCAATTCCAGAGCCCATTTGGCCTGCGCCGACTACCCCGATGCTCCTCACCGTCGCCATAGTCGTCTTCAGAAAGGACTCCCTGCTCTTGATGAAATGGATTATGGATGGACCAATATAATAATAGTTTGGCCTGACATTTCGACAACGATTACGTGGGGAACTGTTTAAGGTTCTTTTAACTCTTTTTTTTTTTTTTTTTTTTTTGAAAACTCTTTAACTCTATTAAAAATCATTTTTTGTCCCTCAAGAATTATGCTTCATTGTTTTTAACTGAAAGAAAATGTCAAATTGGCTACAAAGTCCAATAAATAAGAAAATTTTCAATAAAATAGTACAATTAGGTTTTTTTTTTTTTTTTTTTTTTTATGTAAACCACATTGTGGTTCGGGTCTTTCTCCGTCCGTTTAACGGTCCAGGTCCATTCGGTTCGCTCCGGGAGGCACAGAAGCTGGCCCAAGGAGAATCGTCACTTGTGGGATTTGAACCCGGGTTATTCCAAAATTGTTACATTAGAATAATAACGCATGTGAAAGTCTAGTCAATGCCAAATTATATCTCATTTTGTTTATTATTGCAATTATATAACTTTAAAGTTCATGATTAATTTCAATAAGGTTATTTTAATTTTTTATTTAAAAAAAATACATGGAATTATTTTTATATACAATGATTCTAAAATCTCTTATAAAGGGTGCAACATATGCATATTTTTAATACATCTAATGAAACATACGTACATAATTTACTCATAAATATACTCCGTACTATTTAAAAAATAGTACTCCTTTATCTTATAGAAATGTCATGTTATCGATCAACGTTGTGTCTCTTTATATCTTGTACATAACCTTAAAGTTTGAGTTTGTACCCAAGACTACTCAATCGATATAACTCAATATCTTTACAATTCATTTTGAGGTGGTATCGAATATGATTATCATTACATTATAATTGAGGTATAGAATTTTGTTATAATTTATCACCAAATTATATCCACCATCAACCATATGCACTTTTAATGTTAAAAAGCCTAATCACGCGTAGAACATTAGTTTTTCATAATTTCTTCAAAAGGCAACAAATTTGGCAAATTATACCATCTAAACATAAATTTAAGTAGCTGGCTTTATTAATGAATTATTTAATCCTTCTGATAGAGTGATAGGCAATAGCCAATCGGCAAACAAAACAATCTCTCTCCCTCAGCTTGAGAGAGGATGGACCACACAGCATTTGAATCATGGACAAATTGGCACGCGGGCTGGGGCCTCGCATTCATTATCTCACCTAACTGCTAATAACCACACAGTAAAATCTAAACAACCAAAACCACAACCTACCGTACACTATCACAATACATTAACCCATTCCTCTTTCTTTTCAAGTAAAAAAGTATTTAATGCCCTTGATCGAGTGAATGAGTAATTATACTTAAAACTCTCTTTCAGCTATGTGGGAAATAATGTGTTCGAGCCTCAGTGGAGGCGTAGTAGTTTATATATAATAAAAATATTAAAAAATTTAGTTGAGCCCGCCTGATAGTCCGAGACTTTAAATTTAAGACCAGATATTTATAACTTGTCGGAAAAAAAAATTAATTAGTCCGATCCAATAAAACTAACCCAAAATCAATATCCAATTGTCATCCTTACATTTGACCCTTCCGAGTTTGTGTGCATTTAATTCTTTCACTGATTAATTGTATCTTCACTCACACCCATGCTGACAAACAACAATATTGGTACTGTGCATATGAGGTATATATACAGACATAGTGGGGGCAGTTGGGTGGGGAGGCGTGGAGCAAATTATTGTTTGGAGTATTGTCCAAAACAACCTTATTGAATTTTATGAGGTAGAATAATGTATATTATGTGTTAAAATAATAAAATTTTTGTGATAAGATAATATACTTTATGAATTAGAATAATATACATTATAAATTATAAAAATGTATATTACAGTGAGTCGCGTGAAAAAAAAAAAATTAACGATGTCATTTTTAAACTGTGATTCACATAGTTGTGTCGACCATAGTCCACGCAATAAGTGTTGGGTGGAGTGGGGTGGAGGGTGTTGGTTGCGGTGGTGGTCCTCACTAACTTTATTTCACCTCTACTGTCACAGCATATTGATCACGCCTTCCCGGTACAATGCATTCACCTCTCTTCTTGTTCATTCCTTAGCTATCTTTAATTTCACCCTGTCTTGTTTCTAAGTATCACGATCTTGGAAAGCGCCAAGAGTATGGAGGCCCATAACCATGGCGGCCGCCTTGCTTCGACCGTGAAGGCAAAGAGAGAAGTTGAGGGGGAAGAAGAAGACGATGAGATGGAGGAGGAGGAAGAAGAAAATGAAGACGACGATCAGTGTCGTCATTTGAGAAAGAAGAAAATGGATGTTGGGTTAGGAAAGAAGGTGTCGTCGCCAGGTGGTGTTGCCGGAGGGGTGACGGCGGCGGCGGCGTGCTGTCAGGTGGAGAAGTGCGGCGCAGATTTAACATTTGCGAAGACATACCACAAGAGGCACAAAGTGTGCGAAGTCCATGCCAAGGCTCCCGCTGTCTTGCTCAATGGCGTTGACCAGAGGTTCTGCCAGCAATGCAGCAGGTTTAATTTTTGAGCGTTTGTCGTCAATATAATTTCAATTTGTGGTTGGAAATTTGAGATTTTGTGTTACGTTGTTTGCATCAGATTCCACGAGGTGTCAGAATTCGACGATGCAAAGAGGAGTTGCCGGAGGAGACTGGCCGGACACAACGAGCGAAGGCGGAAGGCGTCGTCGTCGTCGTCGTCGTGTGAGAATCGCGGCGGTGAGAGCCGGAGACGAGTAGAGGCTCCATTGAAGCAGGAAAGCAAGCAGTGCAGCCGTGGAGGGAGTCAGCTCATCATCTCCGCCGCCGGGACTTCTTCCTACGACAATTTCCACATTCATTGACCTCGGCTCTATTGCTTACTCTCTTCTGTCATCCATCCTTAATTCAATTATATCATAAACTTATGTAAAATGCGCGCACTTATATGAATGCTACTTTGGAGATCTTAGAATATCTGTAACGTGGTACCGCCCTTCTTCTGATTGCAATCTCCGGTCCTGTTCATCCCAGAAACTACCACTGGGCTACTTAGAGCGTATGTAGTACGTAGTAATTAGTTGTGGGAATAGTACATATCCATAATCCTAGGATAATGGAGATATACCACCAACTTCTGTATGTTTTTCCTTTCCAAGAATTGAATAATATAATGCAGAATGAAGAGCCTAAACCAATTTTTAGATCTTTACATTTTTAAAGGGACCCTTACACCCGGTCCTGACAAAGTATTGGGAGGATGTAAATTACTGTAACTTAATAACAAGTTCAAATGAACTAAGAATATGAAAAGAAGACTTGACAATTGTCACTTGACTGAAGATAGAGAAAAGGACTTGATACTTAATTCTCTACTAATCAAAGGTGTGCATGGTCTTCTTCAACTTCCCTCTCATCGAATGAACATTATAGATTTTTTAAATTTATATCAATTTCCTTCATCTAAATATCTAATCTTACATTACTTTATTCTTAATTTTTTTAATTGGCAATAATATTATCAATTGAATCATATTTATTTTCAACATCATTAGTAGCAATGGGAGAGATGGTATTGATGAAAGGCCAAGATGGATAGCTCATGCTTTGGATTTAAGGAAAACTAATTTGTAATATTGAAGTGTTTGAGCATTGGACAAGGCTTGATTTGTGGTCCACGTTTAGGCTAGATTTGTTTTCTTTTCTCAAACTACTGACCCTAATGGTAGAAGCCACTTTTAAGCCCATACCATATTCAGATTAATCTTCATTTGCACCGGACCGATCCAATTAAAGGAAGATTGTTGACCAGATTAATTTTTCTATACAATATTTTCTTAGAGATAAAAAATTAATTCCACTAAATTCATTGGTTGTCAAGTTGATAAAAAGGGAGAAAGCAGGCCATATTCCCCATATTGTGCAAATAGGCCCATACTAAAAGAATGAAAGCGCAGTGTGACCCAAAGAAATACTTTATTGTGGACCGAGAAGGGCCTTCCTACGTGGTCCCATGGACCCCAAAGGCGGGTGCACAGATACCCAACATAGGAGACATCGAGTTCTTTAAGAACCAAGTTTGTCGCTTTGTTTGGGATTGAGAAAAAGTAGGTGAGGTGTTTGCCTTCACTTGCGCACTAAACAGTAAACATAGGAAGCTAAATGTTGATACCATCATTGCAGTGGTCTTTGGATGCCCAGACATCCCCAATATCAGTTATTCCCCACTCCACCTTCCTCATTTGCCCTCTTACATTTTGTATCTATATACTGTACTTATATGCTTCAAACTCCATCTTCTAATTAACAATGCTGTTTATGCTCACTATCATTACTATCCCACACACCTCTAGTTTTGCTTACCTATCAAATTTATTTAGTATATAAACCATTATAGGGTGCATTTATTAACTGGAAAAAGATACATTTTTAAAAGAGAAATGAAGAAATGAAAAAATAGATAAAAGAATTGAAAACCGGATAAATGAAGTGAACGGACCACATCGAATTAGTGTTGTGCTTACTTCAAGCTAAAAGAAAATTTTATATCTTTATGTATGGATGGAATTAGTGTTGTAAAAATCGGTCTAGGCACGGACTAGGCACCTTTAGGTGAGGGGATTTTAGCCCTAGGCGGCTTTTAGTTGATTGGTCAACTAACCGGCCGACTAGACTAGGCGTCGAGTTGGGCGCCTAACTCTGCCTAGTTGGTGCGTAACTAGGCTGAGTTGGCACCCAACTCGACTGAATGATATTTTTTACTTACTCGGTTGCTCATCTTTTATATTCCTTCAGTCATATACACAACTAATCATCTAACATATGTAGTTGACGAGTTTGTGGGATTGTAATAGTCTAACAACTCACAGCCCTGAGTGGAAAAATTAGAGACGATATATTCAAATTACTCGATGACTGCCTAAGAGGCGCTCTAGACTCTAGGCGCTCTAGATTCTAGGCGCTAGGCGCCCCCTTGGCCACTAGCGTTAGCCTTCTGCAACGTAACATTGATCAGATAAAGCAAAACCTATAACTATATTCAAGTATAATTATTTGTGTTTTAAGGAATTCATTATAAAATATAGGATATGAATAAACTAGATATGCAATGTGTGCATCTCAAGCATGAAGTCATGATGATTTAATTGGTTGATAATAATTAGGTGAATTAATCTAAGCTTAATCAAGAGTTGGCACCTTAGAACATAGGTTGATGTATAGCACTATGGTCTATCCATAAAGCCCCAACAAAGGGGTCCATTTCATGCTTGAGAGGGTAAAAAAGCAAGCTCATCATCCCTCTCTTGTTCATATCACCCTACTTTATCTTTGGTATAAAACCAGATGATAGAGGATTTAGCTTTCCCACTTCAACCCACATCATTACTACACTAACAAATTAAACACAGATTTCCATGGAAAGCCGCCGGCGAAACAGCAGTTCCGGAGATAAGTTTTCCTTCCCAATCATCATGCCGGTTCACGAGCAAGACGGGGAGTTCGAATTCGGGTGCGTTTCCACGTCGCCGGGCTCCCCAAATTCCCCGGCCGATCGCCTCTTCTTCAACGGAAAGCTCTTGCCCCACGATTTCCCGTGCCCGCCGGCGTCCGGGTTTTCCTATTCCCGGTCGACGAGCAGAGCGAGCAGCGTCAGCAGCAAGGACTCGCTGATGTCATCCCGGTGCAACAGCAGCAACAGCTCCCGCTGCAGCAGCGCAAGAACCAGTACGAGCGAGTCGTCGGAGAGAAAACTGGCGACGAAAAACATAAGATATCATATGATGCGGAACAGCCATTCCGGCAGGCCAGTTCCCGGTTCCCAGCACCTCACCGCTTCTCAAAGATGGCAATTCATGGCCACCCCGGCGCTGGTTGACCGCAGGAATAAGCAGCGTCACGGTACCGGCGCTTCCCGGAATCAAGAACCGAAGCTAAGGAAACAAGGTGACGACGGTGAAAAGCTTATTACCAACAAGACCGCCGGAAAATCATCGTTTGGTCTGAGGATCTTAAGATCATTCGTGTCTACTTGCAAAGAATGTCACGCCATTCAGCCATCAAACAGAGAGGCAGTGATATTATCGCATAATTAACAATCTCTTTTTTTTTTTTTTTTTGTCAATTATATTCATGATGATTTCATTTCACACAGTACGTACTACGTATTGATAAGATCTCGAAGACAAAATCATTTTTGCAATTGTTAATGATACTATGAATCTTTTGTGTTGTTGAATGATGATGATGACGTGTTTGAAACATGGGGATCGGAGCCCATTTAATATAATCACCACAATTATGGTAATTAAATCAATTAGCAATTTTGGGGACGGTAGATGTTTGTTTCTTTTTTCCTTTTCCTTCTTTTCATTGTAACTTTTTTGGAGGAATGAAATTAACAAAGAAGTGGGAGCTGAGGCCCAATCATATTTCGTTGATTAATCAAATAAGCATGGCAATGAATAGTAATTAGTAAAGCATACAATGACAAGAAGATTTGTTTCATGATGATGTATCACCTTTGAAGTGGGGGCATCAAAGGCATATTTGGGTATCATCAAAGACAAGACAAGACAAGCCAAAGTGAATACATGAAAAACAAGAGGAGTTATCAACAAAGCAACGTTCGATAGCAGCCAGAATATCAGGATACAACGTTATTTTTCCGTAGACGGCAGGCGTCATGGGATTCATCTGATCTCATATCCAAAATGGGCGGCGGCAGGGGTGGAGCTGAGGTGTAAACAAAATTATGAATAGGGGATCGATCATGTACGGCGCCATGGTGACAATTTTAGTTGGAGATTGGTAAAAGACCAAGTCCAATAATTAATAGTTAAGGGATTGTTAGGTGGTGAAGGGTTAAGTCCAACATCATGCTTTTGAAAAATGTGGTGATTGTATATAAGTAAATAAATTAGGTCTTTTCTCTGAGTTATAGCTTTTTACATTGTGATAAACACTTGATCTTTAAGGCTGGAATTATCCAAGCAAATTTAAGCTTTGCAAGATGACATGGATGATGACATGGAAGCACAATATTATTTTCTTTTATTTTTTACTGTCATCTGTCTAGCAAACTTAGCTTGCAGAATTAGCAAGTTTGCTAAACAACTTGCTAGGCAGCTTTTTGTTGCCAACGACAGCTTTATCTGACTTTTTTGTTTTGTTCTATTTTTTAAATCTCTTTTATTATTATTATATTATTATATTTATAATATAATATGAAAGTGGGACCACTTTAGAAAGTGAGAGAATATTGCAGGGATGTAGTGTGAATAGTAGATGATTTGCAAATAAGATATGGGGAAGTGGGATCCATTTTTTAGAGTGGGAGATGTTTGCAGGGATAAGGACAGCCTAATAGACAAGGAGCTTGTTGGTTTCTTGACCACTCAAAACAGTCAACCTACGAACCAACACTATTTGAAAAGTACTAAAAGCTGCCGAAAAAATCCTTTGCTCTCAAATGCTGCTTAACCCTTTTTACAGAGCCTTCTTAGGCCTTTTATACATGCTAGGAAGATTGAAATGCTCAGTCTATCATTAATGTCATAAATGAAGCTATAAATGCTATAAATGCCTTTAATCATGAGAAGTTATACCCGCTTCCTGTTTCCTTAGCGACGAACCGTCTCCCACAACGGCCGATCTCATCATTGCTATTAACTCCGCACAGATTACCTCATTAGTCATTATTGCCCTTCTGCCGAGTGCTAGATTACTCTTCCTATTGTCCCTTATGGCCGACTCCTTCTGTCACTCGGTCAATCCTCCTTAAGCCTTGCAAAGCTGGTTAACGCATCCGTTCTGCTCTTCTATCCGGTTGACCTAGCCAATTCTTCTGCCCTTTTTCCCGGCTAACCTCGCCAACCGTTCTACTTGCTCTGACTGTCTTAATCGTTGAACCTCTTCAGGTTGATTAACTAACACTCTCATCTGGCACCCGAACCAGGGTGCCTCATACACCCCTATGAGTTGTGATACGACTGGTCCAATTCCATCACTCATGCCTTCTCTTGTCCCTTCGACTGACTTGGTTGTCTTCCCTTAACTATATATACTTTGATTAGTTCCCTCGTCCAATATCTTCATTATTTCGCCCTCTAATGCCAACCTCTCGAGCTTGGGTCCGTATCCTATCAGTGTAAAATATATGATAAACCAACTTAAAATGAGTACACACAAATTTGTATAAAAATACTAATTAAATGTGACCTCATCTCATTAGTTTTATTTGGGTGTAAAGTGTTGCAAAATCACATTTTCATATCTTCTACTCCGTATATACTAAAATGTAAGTAAAAAGTGGGAGTATATATAATGAACATTATTCATAAAATATTATTTGCAACTTTCCTAAAAAAGTTGAAAATAAGAACGCACCAACTACTACACTTTGACATTCTTACATAATTGAGCAACCAGAGAAGATAATTTGGTGGGGGTGGGGAGGTTAGTATGTATTCTGAGTGAAGTGATTTATTTTTCCATGTTTCTGAATTTTACAACTATTCATGTTTTGGCTAGCTAGCTAGGTGTTGCATCATGGAGACAGCGTATTTGAAGGAAACACGCAATACTTTTCTCTTTTATGTATGTGGACTGCTTCATATATACATACATATGCCTAATCTTCATAATGTAGCATTGAATCTGTAAATAATTAGACATATTTCACAATTTATAGAGCAATTTATTTTACTTTCTTAGGATTCTCTAATCCTAAACTAGACAACATAATCTAATGAAAAGAAAGATTGAACTCCAAATCACCACAAAAAGCAAACTGATCATGTCCCCTTAATAGATTCTAATCCTCCAAGTCAGTCACACGCCAGCTGCCCACCATATATAACTTATTAATGCATGCACTGTTAATTGCCAGTAACCCCTGCCCTGCACATTCAAATTATTAATTCTCTCGATAATGACGCTTTGACCATAGATTAAGATCACTAATTACAACTATAGCTTAAATTTTTATTATGTATTGAAAAACACGACAATATTTCTTTAGACCAGATGTATTGGCAATTCCAAGTAAACATATATTATCATATTTCTGGGAAAGATGAAGGTAATTTTTTAGTCTACATGAAATTGCACAAATGTTCATTGGGGGAAAAGGAAATTAGTCAAACCTATGAGCTAAAACAAAAACAAACACAGACTATAAGTGAAAATTAATACAGCTAAAAGATTTCACTAAATACATAACCCACTCTGCTTAACCCCTGCCTGCTGCTTAAACATATCATCATTCTAAGAAAGTTTCCATTACATCGGAGGAGCACATTCCGGCTTCGTTTCTAAATTCCCCGGGATTGTTTTGATGTTGCTCGAGTGAAGTTGAAGAAGACGACGAAGCCATTCTAGCAGGCAGCGTAAAGCTTCTCTTGAACTTGTGAACGCTATCCGGGTGGTGGTGGCTATCCAAGCTCAGGAATTCATTTGGATTAGCCCTGCCGCCATTCGTGGTGTGCAAACTTGAAGCGTCTGAATTTGGATTATTCGAGGTCTTTACTTCAAGGTTGAGAGGGTGATGATGGTTTTGGTCCATCTTGTTCCCTAAGTTATCCGGATTAAATAAAAGCCTGGAATCATCAGCTCTACCCGTGAGAGCATTGAAGAAACTCAACCCGTTAGGCCACTTGATATCAGCTTCGTGATCCCCCATCATGTCTTCCATTCGAGCTTCGGAGGAATGAGGAACGAGAAACATGTGGGATTCGTCTTTGGATGGTGGGATTCCAAGCTGCCTGACCCCCGAATTCTGATAGTTTGGAGAAGTTAAGACTGCAGGTGCTGAAGGCATAGGCCTCGGACCCCAGTTGAAAAGCGGTGGAGGGGGGCGGATTGAAATGGAAGGTTGCTTCAAAGGAAGTGTGGAGGAGGGTGAAGTGCTCCGCGTTGAAGAAAAGAGCTGGGAGAGATAGAAGCCAGACTGATAGCCAAGAGACTCAAAAGTATGTCTCATTCTCAGCACAAAATGTAGATCTTCTGGTATCTGAGAAGGATATATAAATACATTCTCCAAATAAGATCATTTCAATGCACTCATTCAGATCCAGAACCAGATTAATTGTCTAGCCATCTAAATAACAATAAGAAAAACCCAAAGATTAGAAAAAGAACTCACAATCTTGCAAGAGCCCAATTGCAATAAGCCATGTCCAGCTTGAATTACAGCAATAGTCTGGTCAACATAAAAATGAAGAAATAAATAAGTATGAAAACTATTGTGGATGACACAGAGATAATATGATTCTGACCTGGATGCCTGACTCAAACTGATCTGTCCACTCTGTGGGAAGCTGCAGGCATGAAGACACAGACAGGGACTCATCAGTCATTCTTAAAAGCAATTTCAAGAAGCCAATAATTGGCAGCAAGAAATCAACTTTCCTAAACCATCACAACAAGGCTCAAATTTCAGACACAAACTGTAATTGATGGAATCTTCTGAAACTAGAAAGATAACAACAAGTATAGGAAGTTGGCATTTTTTGTACTTACAGCATCAAATGAACTCTGCCAGTAGTTGGATATGTTTGGTTCACATTCTGTAGGCTCCTTGAAAACCCATTTATGACACTTATCAGATGCAACTTTCCCCATTAACCTGCAATCAACTCAACCAATCAACCCACCTACTGGTAAAATTTCTTGTCATTTTTACTTTTTATTTTCTTATACTCCCTTTTAACTATATCCACAGAGACAGTGAGAGGGAGGGAGGGTTAGAATCCAATACCAAATCACCTACCCAGTACCCACCCTTCTCCATAATTATATAACTGAATGGACATCTTGCTGAAGGCCTTTCTCACTGGGTCCTCCCCATCCATCTCTTCCAAACACTCTGCAACTCTCCCTCTGCAGAACCCATCTTCCCACATCAACATCCTGCTCCCATACAAAAACAAAGATAGTACCTTTTTACTTAAAACAAGCTTGGTAACTGAAATCAGCTGAAGCAAACTCAAGAAATAAGCACCTTTTGGTGCCAATTAAGTTCCTTTTTCTTGATTAATAAAAAGCAAATTTTTTTTGTAGATGCCCTACAATACCTCAGACCTTGAAACAGTCTTGACCGGTAAGCTAAAGTTGAGGTTATCAGTAAAAAAAAGTAAGAAGAAGAAGAAGAAGAATAAGAATATATATAGGGAATGAAGTGAACATACAAGCTACCATTGTCATCTCCAACCTTGCAACCATTGCCACCGCGAACTCTCCTGCAAGAAGAGAGACAAGAGGGGAGGAGATAAGCAAGCAAAATAGAGGAAAGGAGGAGGAATGGAAGAAGGGATTAGAGACAGAGAGACATACGGGCGAGGACGAATGGTCCAGAAGACTGAGTAAGTCCAGTCTGAGTTGAGACAAACGCTTCTGAGGGCCTCATGAAGGGCCATCATCCCAACTGCTTCTTTGCTCCTATCTGATGCTCCTGAGCCCACCATCTCTCTCTCTGTCTCTCTCTATCTCTCTCTATCTATCTATCTAGATCTCTCTCTCTTTCTTGCTTTTTCCCCCACTCCCTCCCTCTCTCTCTCTGCCTTTCTCGAGTAAAACCCTTTTTCTCTCTACTCCTATGGGAGCTACAACACTACTATTCTTGTCATGTAAATTTCTCCAACACTCTGCTGCTTTTATCTTTTTCTCTCTCAGCCTCACCAACTCCTACACAATGCTTATGAACCACAGGCCATACCCTTTCTTCATCTCTCTCTCTCTCTCTCTCCCCACCCAGCAAAAAAGTCTAAGCTTTTGCTGTGAACTTTATTTTATTTTTACCTTATTCACTCTCAGATAAACCAAACCTGATTACATGGGGAAAAAGGGTGTGCTAATTCTATGATAATGCAAATAGCCAAACACGGAAGAGGAGAGAGATATATAGACAGAGAGAGAGAAACCGTGAGAGAGTGAGGAAGGTGACAGCGTGTGTGCGTGCGTGTGTGAAGGATGTTTGAAGGTTGTTTACTTTTGTTTTTTACCAGGAAAATATGGGAGGCTGTGGGGTCACCTTTTATCCAACCCCCTCAGGGCTGAGAGACCTGACCTTAGCTGAGCTGGCAACTACAAGGAAAACCCCTTCACTTCTCATGCTTAAATTACTTATTTACCCCTTCTTGTGTCGGGTAAAACTTTAAAGGGCGATAAAAATCGCAGCCTCAGTAGTGACAGTATTGACTCTTTTGTGCTTCAATAAGTTGAGAATATAGTTATAAACAGATACTGTATTATAACAAAGTCAATAATACTGAAGAAAAAAATCTTAGCCAAGAATTTAAATGATGAAAAATATCATAATTAATGACTTATAATTTTATAATTACTAAATCAATAATCTGAACAATCTGATTTACCTCTATTAACACAAAACATAAACTCTAACACGAAACTAGGAAATCAAAGGTGGCAGACTTAGCACTCACATGATGCTGTCTGTTTGAAGTTTGAAGTCAATGCATGCAACATGGTCTGCTTTGAATATTGTTGCAATATCAGGTGGATTTTTACTTATTTCCAGACTATTTCACACGATTTTCACACACAATTGCATCCCATTTTCCAACCCCATATGCATTTTTTTTCTTTAATTTGCTTCACCAAATCAAATTAAAGATGAGTCACAACATCATAAAAAGGGGTTTAAATGTATAATTAAACTTACAGATAGCTACATCATTATTCATTACTACACATTCTTAAATTCCACTTTAAGATTTAGCAGTTGTCATGCATAGTACGTAGTTTTATATACAATTTGTGTCCGTACCGGCTTAACCCACTAGTTCAGTAGATAATATTTCGAAGAAGAAACCAATAACGTTTGAACATCGACAATTACAGTGTATGGATAATGCTTAAAGTAGGCAGGTTCATTGTGGACACCAGCAACGTGATTTATATTGTCTCAAATGCTGTCAAATTCTTGGATAATAATATACATATATGCCTCATAGCGCAGCTAAGCGTCCTTCAATTCTTTACTTTCTACAACTACTTTCTATAGCAACGGAAAAGAACACTCACGACATGTGTTTTATATCATCGTTGAAGTTGTCTTGGTAGCAGTTGTGTTACATCCTTTTTTTAATTTCCTCCCCCGCTAAGGCCACAACTTGTGCATGTAACCTACATAACACAATTCTTTGTCAACTAGAAAGACAGTTTTTTTTTTTTTTTTCTTTCATTTCTTTTTGTCTAAAATATGTATTGTTAGAATTGTGAATAGGCTGACATGGAGGCAAGAAAGCGAATAAAAGTCTTGTAATGAACCTAACAAACTAGACCATAATGAATACAAGTCAACCCAAGACTAAAATTTTGAAACTAATCGCCCATTAGCTAATTAAATCTATAGTCTCATAAATCTATATATAATTTTCTCCTTTTTGGTTTCCTTTACTTTGTATTCTGAAAAAAAAAAATCATGGTAAATAAACTAAATTTAGTATCGTTTCTTCCTAACATGATAGAGCAAGATTAATTAATCTAATAAAAATATACTAAATTTATCCAATAGTGAGGGAATGACAACAAGCCAAATAATACTAAGTTATCGACCCTCCTAAAGCTTAATATGATGACTTTGGGTTGTTGATAATCAGGTTCATATAGCATTATATGAATATCCCATACGTGATCGTGTGTGTATTGTTTGTATTTATTTTAAAAATATATATATTAATTGAGCTTCTGGACTGTTTAAATAATACCCTTCAAGAAGTTTTGAATGACTTTTGGGATGAGTATTACTGTATTAGTAATATTCCTTCAAATTCAAGTAATTTTAAATGTATTCGAATAAATAGTTTGGTACCCTACCCTTTGCTATCCCATTAAATACCAAATCTTGTACATGAAACAAGTGCAATTAGAGGTGTCCATGGTTGGATTTAACTGATGGTTAAAAATCAAATCATGCATGGTGTGAATCAACCCTAAACTGTAATTGTACATAAGATTTCGGTTAAGGTTTGAACAAGGCGGACTATAGTTACGGTTAAGGTTTTTTTTTTTTGATGAACCATGAACTGTTAAATAAGATGGTTCACGCGATTACAAATTGTTACTATAAAAAAAATCTAATAAGGTAGGACCATGAGTTCACAACTTACTTTAGTACTTTACAAATTTAGTCTTGGTAAAATTAAGTGCAAGTTCTTCCTTAAAACAAAATTTGTAATACTTTAAACATTAAAACATAGCTACAATATTTTTTTTTTAAACTTTGGTCGACATTGTTGGTGACCTCGCTCCCTCGTTGACATCTGACGTTCACCTAAATTTGTTTGAATTTAGGCAAAGACATTTTCTTTGATCATATTCAAAGTATCTTCATCCAAATCGAACAAAGATGACTTCATCTCTTACGAGAAATGATAAAAATGAAAAGTCTTATTTTTATTACAATAAAAGCCAAGTTTTTTAAAAAAAAAAAAAATATTTTTTTAATATCAAATTTATATTATTATTATTATTATTATTATGCTACATTAATTTTAAAAATACAGAATTTGGGTCAAATTACTTTAGAAAGTCATATTACGTATCTTGTCAACATATATTACTTAATGATAACCTACTAAAGGTACTAATGGTATTTTAAACAAGTTTAAGGGTCATTTTCCCTCAAATTTTAATGAGAAATTTGGTATGAGGGGCAATAAAGACATTTTAATGATGGGGAATCTTTACCAGTCAAAAGCAAATAAGGTCTCTGAGAGCTTAGATTTGATGCTAATATTATAAGCATTATTAAATAATTGAGTGCTGAGTTGAAAGAATAATATCCCTATCTCTATCCCTATCCCAATTCATTATTAATAATATTGTACGGTCTTTGTTAAAATACTCCACAAATTTTATCATTTTGGCGCTCCCTTCCCCTCCTTAAAATACTCACCTACTTCCTCATGAAGTATTCCAATTTCACTCTAACTCAACATTACACCTTTTTTGTTGGTACATTATTTTCGCTATTTAATAATTACATTTTATATTCAATTTTAAATAAAATTTAAACCTGAATTATTTAAAACTTCCATTTTAGAAGATAAAAAAAAAAAATGGCACCGGGCAATAATAATAATTTCCAGCGTGTTATATACTTATATATGAAAAGAAAAAAGGTGTGCCGGGTAGCATAAGGTAAAAAGTAAAAAAGCAAGGGAGTATGAAATGGGAAATGACAGGATTTAATATTAACCAAACAAATAAACAAACAATGTAATAAAGAATAAGAGATTAAGGAGTCACGTGCACACGTGCCGTGGCAGTGAGTCGGTGCATCGTTTACCATAAAGAAGTACGGAGTAAATAAAAGAAAAAAAAAAAAAAAAAAAAAAAAAAAAAAAAAAAAAAAAAAAAGAGCAGCGCACGAATTGCGGGGCACTACATTTCCCACGCGCCTTTCCGTTGTCATCTCCAACCTTACCTGCAACCATTGCCACCGCCAACTCTCCTGCAAGAAGAGAGATCAGAAAAGAGGGAGGAGATAAGCAAAGATGAGAGAGAGGCGGCATATATACGGGCCGGGCAAGGACGAATGGTCCACCGGCCAGTCTGATCGAGTTGAGACAAACGCTAGCTTCTGAGGCATCAAGGGTCACTCAACAGGTACATGGGCTAGATCATACTAAAAGATTGAATTCAATCAATTAGTCAATCTAACCCATAGACTTATAAATTCATATATTCTCACTTATTTTATCAATGTGGGACACTCTTAACATCTCTCCGTACTTGTTCTCATGTAAATTTCTCCAACTTAACACTCTGATCTGTTGCTTCGGAAAGTGTACGTAGAGCTGAGCGAGCTGATCGGAGGGACATGGAGCATGTTACGTTACCTTGAAACTACAAAAGGCATGCAAGAGCATGTGATAGATGCAGTAAGTTTGATTCTGCATTTTAACAATTATGTTTGTCAGTGATTTTCTGGTTCCTTCTGGAATATAATATTACAGTGTTTTTATAACATTCATAACATATACATAATAGTGCTGCTGACTCTGAAAGTATATATATAAAATGTAAGTGTATTAATTAAATTAATTTAATTGGAATGACAAAATACAAAACTAGCTCTATACCATCTCAATAGAGGATAGAAAACCTTTCAACGAAGCTAAGTCTCTAAATGTACTTAATTAGGTATCTTCAAACATCTTATTACTATTATATTGACCTGAATCAACTCGATAAGGACATACATGTGACGCAACTGATCTTAATATGGCACAATCAGGCTACAAGTAATTAATATACAATAAGGTCAATAGGTCCAAGTCGATCTCATGCCAAAAAAAATTATTTAATTAAACAATTGATAAAAATTTACAATATGAAATATACTTAAAATAGAATATTAACATTGGAGACAAGTTTTAGTACGAATTGTTTCTACAATGAAATTTAATTTCTTGAAAAATATAGTTTAACTTTTTGAGAATCTAATGAAAATTTTCACCATGATAATAAATAACAACTTTTTATGGTTGATTGTAATGATTGTAGAATTTGATATGAAATGCAAAATCATTATCTTATAAATCACAAAATTCAAAATGAGTTAATTTTTCTTTTAGCCCAAAGTGTTAGAAATTTTATTACTCTGTTTAATTATTGTTGAAGACTTGAAGTAGAGACTAATGTTTTTCTATAGTTCTTGATTATACCACAAATGTGAATCATTAAGACCAAATGGATGATGTACTAGTAGGATGGGTTAATATCTCTAGTAACAATATTGATGGGGATATAGGGAATGTATACTTTACAAATAGGTCTATCCCACAAGTTTTGAAGCTTTCATGACTTCCTAGATTGGGAAGCCAACCTTGAAAGTCGATTTATGGTAGCACAAATATTGTATAAGTTGTCAATATTTTGAAGGTCATCCCTCTCGACTAAAATTGTCCACTAATGTCTACCACATTAGCTTATTAGTGAATCTCCAATATGCTCAAACTCTATAAGAGCATCTCCAATAGTGATTTTTTTTGTGATTTTTGAGGTGCCAATTAGGAAAGAGAAGAAGGGAAAAGAGACAAACAAAATTGAAAAACGGGTTTGAGGCGAAAAAAAAAAAAAAAAAAAAAAAAAAAAAAAACAGAGCTTCGGCCGTGCCGACTAGCACAGTCTGTGCAACCCACTCATGCATGCACCTCTCATTTTCCTTTTCTCTCTCATGACAGCCCCACAAAACAATATTTTTTGCTGGAGGAACTCATATCTTCTCTCTTATTCCTCTCCATCCTCTACATAAGTCGTGTTCTCATAAAATAAAAAAAAAAAAATAAAGAAAATGGGAATACTCTAAAAATTGTGGTCTATACTTTTTTAGACTCGAGTACAATGGAGGGAAAGGGAAAGTCAAACCCCACTCAGCTAGAACCAGCACCAATTAAAAGTGAAAAAAGTAATTCTACATGTACTCTCATTTTGTACTTCATATGATGATTTGGCATGCTTTGATTGTTTAATTTTATAGGGGTCATGATATTTATCAATTTTTTTTTTCTTTTTTCCAATCAAATTGAACATAAGTGGGAGTAAAAGTAGGGAGTATGTTTTTAGGAGTACATGTAGTATTTTTGAAGTGAAAATAGAGCTAAAGGATTCCCCAAATACTGTTGAAAAATTTTCCTATGATAATGGTAATGAACAAGGATTTAAGATTGAGCATGAATCCAACAAATACATGTCTTTCAATTCACCCTTAACCCACTGATCTGCTCAATCCTGCATACACATGCATATATATATATATATATATATATATATATATATATATATATATATATATATATATATATATATATATATATATATATATATATATCATTCTAAGAAAGTTTCCTTCTTTGTTTCTAAATTCCCCGGGATTGTTTTGATGCTGCTGCTCTAGTGAAGTTGATGAAGACGATGATGCCATTCTAGCAGGCAGCGTATGTAAAGCTCCTCTTCAACTTGTTTTCCATTTTGCGAAAGCTAGCTATCTGGGTGGTGGCTGTCCAAGCTCAAGAATTCATTAGGATTAGCCTCGCCATTGGTGTGCAAACTTGAAGCCGCATCTGAATATGGATTTGAAGTAGTAGTGTTTACTTGAAGGTTGAGAGTGTGATGGTTTTGGTCCATCTTGTTCCCTAAGGTATCCGGATTAAATAAAAGGCTGGAATCATCAGCTCTACCCGTGAGAGCATTGAAGAAACTCAACCCGTTAGGCCATTTGATTTCATCAGCTTCGTGATGATCTCCCATTCGAGCTTCTTCTTCTTCTTCTTCAGATGCATGAGGAAATCCAAGCCTGACCGATGAGTTGTGATGATAGTTTGGAGAAGGCATAGGCCTGGGACCCCAGTTGAAAAGTGGGGGAGGGGGCCGGATGATTGAAATGGAAGGTTGCTTCAAAGGAAGTGTGGAGGAGGGTGAAGTGCTCCGCGTTGAAGAAAAAAGCTGGGAGAGATAGAAGCCAGATTGATAGCCAAGAGACTCAAAAGTATGTCTCATTCTCAGCACAAAATGGAGATCTTCTGGTATCTGAGAGAGATCAGATGCATATATGCATGCATAAATAATACATTATTATTCCATCTCCAAATAATTAAATATGAAGAGAAAAAGAAACTAACTCACAATCTTGCAAGACCCCAATTGCAAAAGGCCATGTCCAGCTTGAATTACAGCAATAGTCTGGTCAACATAAAAATGAAGAAATAAATAACCAAAAAAGTATGAAAACCTACTATATATATATATTATTGTAGGTTGATGGCATTTGATTCTCACCTGGATGCCTGACTCGAACTGATCTGTCCACTCTAAGGGAAGCTGCAGGCATCAAGACACAGACTCATTCTTAAAAGCATTTCAACAAACCAATAATTGACAGCAACGCTCAATATATAGATAGAGTTAATAATTCATGGAGGCTAGGGAAACTAAAAACAACAAGCATATATAGCAAGTTGGTATTTTCCTGTACTTACGGCATCAAATGAACTCTGCCAGTAGTTGGATATGTTTGGTTCACATTCTGTAGGTTCCTTGAAAACCCATTTATGACACTTATCAGATGCAACTTTCCCCATTAACCTGAAATCAATTCAACCAATCAACCCACCTACTGGTAAAATTTCTACTTGGTTTTTTTTTTTTGGGTTTACAAATACTCCCTTTTAACTAGAGACAGTGAGAGGAGGGGGGGTTTAGACTTTAGAATCCAATATATAATACCAAATATAATCACCTACCCAGTACCCACCCTTCTCCATAATTATATAACTGAATGGACATCTTGCTGAAGGCCTTTCTCACTGGGTCTTCCCCATCAATCTCTTCCAAACACTCTGCAACTCTCCCTCTGCAGAACCCATCTTCCCACATCAACATCCTGCGTCCATACAACAACAAAGATAATACCTTTTTACTTTTTTTTAAAACGAAGCTTTTCCGGCCAAGAAATCACTTACACTAAATTAAAAGCTAAGCTTGATAACTGAGATCAGCTCAAGAAATAAGCACCTTTATTTTGATGCAAATTAAGTTCCTTTTTCTTGACTATTTAATAAAGAGCAAATTTATAGTAGATCGCTTATAAGACCTCAAACCTTGATACAGTCTAAGCAAAAGTTGAGGTTATCAGTAAAAAGAATAAAAATATATATAGGGAAGTGAACATACAAGCTTCCATTGTCATCTCCAACCTTGCAACCATTCCCACCGCGAAGTCTCCTGCAAGAAGATAGACAAGAGGGGAGGAGATAAGCAAGCAAGCAAGCAAAATAGAGGAAAGAAGGAGGAATGGAAGAAGGGATTAGAGACAGAGAGACATACGGGCGAGGACGAATGGTCCAGAAGACTGAGTAAGTCCAGTCTGATGAGTTGAGACAAACGCTTCTGAGGGCTTCATGAAGGGCCATCATCCCAACTGCTTCTTTGCTCCTATCTGATGCTCCTGAGCCCACCATCTCTCTCTCTCTCTCTCTCTCTCTCTATATGCCTTTCTCAAGTAAAACCCTTTTCTCGATCTCTACTCCTATGGGAGCTGCGCTACAACACTACTATTATTCTTCTCATGTAAATTTCTGCTAGCTTAGCTTAGTCTGCTGCTTCGGTAAGTGTACGTATAGTAGAAGGAGATGGAGCATGTTACGTTGAAACTAGAAAAGGCAAGAGCATGTGATCTACATTTTAAACAATTCAGTTTGTCAGAACAAGTGATTTTCCGTTTAATATAAATTAATTGCAGTGTTTTTATAGCATTATTGATAAGATATAAATGATACTATATAGTACTGTGAGTATAAAAAGCAAGTGTATAAATGATACCAAATTAAACCTGTTCATCAAGTTTGGCTTTGAATTGTATTCGGATCATGGTAAAACTTCAATTTTATATTTTATCATTCCTTTATCTAACCAGAACTTTTTGTATTCTTATAAATACTTCAGAACTTTTTGTATTCTTATAAATACTTTGTAAATAAGGAATACAAAGTCCTAATAACATCATTCATCAGCTTTGGATATTATTGCATTATCATCCATTCCAGAATTTCACACAGAATTGCATCCTATTTTCCAACCCTATCTTTTTCTTCGCTTCACATAATAATCAAATTAAAGATGCATGAACCAAAACATCATTAAAAAAAAGGGTCTTTAAATGTATAATTAAGCTTATAGATGGCTACATCATTACATTCTTAAACTCCCCTTTAAGATTAGCAGCTGTCATGGATAGTAGTAGGTATATATACAACCTGTGTCCTGCCAAATTCTTGGCCACAAGTCCACAATTCGTGCAGGCCTATATAAGACATTTCTTTGCCAAACATGGATCACATGTTTTTTTTCCGTTCTTTTTGGTTAAATGTGTATTGTTCAAATTATGAATTTGGGTTGGAGACCGGAAAACCAATACAAGTCTTGTCATGAACTTAACAATTCAACTAGTTCATAATGAATTTGAGTCAAATCAAGACTAAATTTTTGAATCTAATCCATTATTAACTAGTTGAATTTTGAATTTTTCATCTTTGATTCCATGAATATTTAAACATCTTCACGTTTGGTCCCAAAATATTAATTTTTTGCACATTGTGTCCGACGACTTTTAAAATATTAGCGTATTTGATCCTCAGACTTAATTTCTGATCACTGATACGGTGACCAATTTTATCCTTCAAATAAGTCACTTGATTATTATGCACTTGTGTTCAATCAAATAGAGATACAAATGTGATCATTGGTGATCAAAAATTAGATCAGAGGATCAAACATGACAATATTTTAAAAGTCATAAGACTAAATGTAATAATAATAATAATCTGCAACCAAATATGAAATTGTCCAATAGCTGTTGGACTAAAAGTGAAAAAAAACTCTTAAATTTATATTTTATCCTTTTTTACATTTATATTTTATCTTTTTTACATGTATATTTTAGATTTAAGTTTAATGGTGGGGTTGTATATAGTATTTAGGGGGAAATTGGGGTGAGGGACAATAACCAAGATATTCAAAGACGGGGAGGGAATCTTTACCAGTCAAAACTCAAAAGCAAAAAGGTCTGTGAGGGGTTAGATTTGATGCTAATATTATAAGCATTATATTAATAATAAATAATTGAGTGCTGAGATGAAAGAATAATATCCCTTTAATTAATATATTGTACGGTGTTCGTTAAATACTCCAAAAAATAAATTATGATTTGAGCGCTCCCCTCCTTAGCTTAATACTTACTCACCTACCTATCTACTCCGATCCCATCTCACCCTAAGTTAACATTACATATTTTGTTTTGTTTTTTTTTTTTTTAACATAATTTCTACTATCTAACAATTACATTTTATGTTCCATTCTAATTAATTGTAAACGTGAATTATTTTAAACCTACTTTCATTTTAATATTTTATAAAAACTATATTAACATTATTTTTGCTTTGATTCCAAAAAATCAAATTTACAAGACGTTTGGTTGAAATAAAGAGATTAGGGGGAAAATAAATTGTAATTTGGTGAAAAAAAATAAGGTAGAATAAATTATGAATTCAAATTATATTATTTTGGTAGGGAGGAATAGAATAATTGAGAATGGGAAGGACAGAAGTGATATAAAGATTAAAATATCTTTGTGTAATAATAATAATAATAATAAATAAAAATAAAATAATAATAATAATAATAATAATAATAATAATAATAAAGGAGAATTTAGTCATTTTCCTCTTCTTTTTTTTTTTTCCTTTCCTAAGTGCATTGAATTAGAATTTCTAGGGGATACATGAATTCTAATTCCACAAAAAGAGAGAATTCCAATTTCGTCCAATTAAATCCTGTAATTTAGCATGTCAAAATTATGTTAGAAACAAAATGCAATTACACCCTACCAAACAGCTTGTAAATGTTATTAAGCTATAATGTTAAAATTTGCACTTTAAAGTTAAAAAAAAAAAAAAAAAATTTAATGGGATGTCACAATGTTTTTTTTTTTTTTTTCAAACTGAATTAGATCCTTTAATTTAGATGTTTCTGGATAGACATCTAAGATTGGTTATTAATTCTTTCCTATGAGCATGTTCTCATGTAAGTAGGCCCTATATCTATGAGAATTTATTTTCAAAAGAAAAATTAAGAACCAATTTCAGCTATCAATTTGAAAAAACTCTAACAAATCTAAACCAAAGAAAGGAAAAACACACTAGATTTTGGTAAATAACTCAATTTATAAGTGCATTAAATATTATGTGAACGTGCATTTTATAGTGTTGCAAAGTGCATTATGTACTAAACTTATTATACTCTCAAAACTAAAAGAACTAAAAAAAAATAAATTTTTTCCAAAGTTTTGAATGGAGTTTAATTTTCTTTGACTCAGTGAAATTATAGTGGATAGTCAGTCATTAGTATATTATTATTGACCCTTCATTGTTGTTTATCACTATACTAGTTAATTGAACCACGTTGTGCAATTAAATCAATGTTCAATGATAAAAAAAAAAAAAATGTAAAATTACATTATAAAAAATAATAATAATAATAAATAAATAAATATAAAACTATTATAGTTCTATTAAAGAGTTAATACTCAAAATGATCCTCAACTATAATGATTTTTTTTTCAATTTCGTCATAAACAAATTTTGTGACTTAGGGTGTGTTTGGTTCGCACATAGGAATCGGAATCGGAATAGGTATCAAAGACTTGGTAATGGTAATAGGTTTTGGTGAAAGTATTTAACATGTTTGGTAGTAGGGTGGAATGAGAATAGTTACTAATAGTAGTGCTTGAAAATAAATAAGGGAATAAAACCCTTATTGTATTTGGGTATGAGTTTTTCAATTGATGGGGTATTCGAAACCCATAGTAGTGTTCTAAAAACCTATCAACCAAACAACAACAATCACTTTCATACCCATTCCTATGGGCAAAACCTACCAACCAAACACACCCTTAATGTATTCCTAGACTTTTGTGTTTTTGCTCAATTTAATATTTCATTATATTTGTTATTTCGTCCATTTGGTGTTAAATAGAGGGACAATTCAGTAATTTCAATATTGATATCTCTTTACTCCTAGACATGCGAAATGCGAAATCCATCTTTCTTTTACGAATTACTCCCAAACCTGCAAATATAAAATTTGATTCGTAGGTCTGCAGTAATTATGAAAGTAATTTGTAAAAGAAAGAGGAATTAAAATGTACATTCAGTACACGAATAATGTACTTTTTATTATGGTCCACAGAGCATTATTTGTACCATAGTCCATACACTAATTTGTCATTAAATTCCTAAGTTGTTTCGTATTGGATATACTTCTTGAATTTCCTTGATCCTTTTAATTACTTTCTTGGGTCGGTTCATGTAACACATACCCTTTTAGTTGACTAGTTCGATTGGTCAGCCCAATATACCATCCATCAATGTACATAAATTCACTATTGTTAATGTGATTTTTATGTATTTAATTTTTTAATGTAGCAACAATATTATTTTTATGTACTTAATCCATCATGTATTCACGTAATGTGAATCCTGACCTATAATATAATTTGGCACTGATGGGCCGGCCAATTTCTTTAATTGCGGTCTATCTTGCCACTGCAGGCACTGGCAAATTATGTCCTGGACCCGTGTCCACAATGAATTGTGGACACGGGCCCAAAACGACGTTGTTTAAAAAAAAAAAGTGTCATTTAGTTAAAAAATAATAATAATAAAAAATTGTGTGCGTTTTGTCGTTAACGACGTTATTTTTTTTGGATTATGAATGTACAGTTATGCTGTTATGAATGTACAGTTATGCCGTTATGAATGTACAGTTAATTTCGAATTTAGAGATTTTTCATAAGAAATTTTGTGATCATTTTTCTTTTCTATATATGAAAGAACTTATTGATTATACATAACTTCTTCTTCTTCTTTTTTGAATTGTACATAACTTCACATGTAATTAAGAGTTAATTTCTAAAATGGTCCTCTGATTATGGTCTTTTCTCAAATGGGTTCCTTGACTTTTAATTGCATCTAAAGTGATCCTTTCACTATTGAATTTTAAGTCAAAATGGTCCTCCGTTAGATTTGGTGTTAAGTAATAAGTAGGTGTTAAAATGAAGGGTAAAAAGATATTTTATATTTTTGTTGTTTAGAGCTTTGACCTGCCGATTACTTCTCCAAATTAGTGAAAAGATTTTCTTCAAATTAAAGAATATAAACCTAGCTACTTGTGATTTTTCCCTTCTTCCCCAAATTGCAATTTTCCCTTGGGAAAAATCTTTTCACTAATTTGGGAAAGTAATCATCATGTCAAAACTCTAAACAACAAACAATATAAAATGTCCCTTTTACCCTTCATTTTAACACCCACTTAACACCAAATCTAACGGAGGACCATTTTAGCTTAAAATTCAATAATCGAATGACCACTTTGGGTGCAATTAAAAGTCAAAGAACCAATTTAAAAAAATATTATAGCCGGGGGACCATT